AACACGCTGCAGCACATTGTGATGCGGAACAGGTTTAATACAAGAAGCGAAGTGCGCCTGGACTCAGCGTTGAAAGAAGAACGTTGCTGAGTACGGGAATTCGTATACTCGATGTGTAAACTCTAAAGAAGAATGTCCCGCTGTTCATACTCAGATTAAATGGCCGATTTGACTTCCTTCACCGAATGCAACATGAAGGAAGAGGAGAAGCACCGGACTTCAAAATAATCCATCAGGATATAAAAACATTTATAACACGGCGGAAAGATTATGAAGCTGATCGAAAAATCATAACCCAACCGAAAGAACTCATGAAGAAACCGAAAAACTGAAGACACCAGCACTTCTGAAATCAAAGGTCGAAAACGTGAAAGTTTGGAAATTTTTGAGCGAGTGGGAAAGTCATAGAAACATTCGTTCGCAGATTAATAAATGAAGCTAGCAAAAACCACCGACATTTGAAATTTGAACCGGAATTTGAACCAGTTGGTAAAGAACAAATTTTAGCTATCATATCAGCAGACGGCATTGTCGCCAAGGCAGACAAGAAAATTTAAAAATAGTTCAAGGTTATATAGAAAAGTATTCAAAGATGGAAACAGCAGCACCATAGCTCTCTTCAGTTACTAATTATTAAGTAAAATTGCCCATGTGCTTGAAACGGAAGGTATTTGATCGACGTATACTCCCATTACATCGATTAAGCCATGGGTGCAAAACGTAGACCTAAGCTCAAAAGCTATACAGTAAGTGCAAACACAAAACGCAGCATATAAAGAGGCATGCTGGAAATAACAAGAAACGTATGGAAGACGAATGAACAAATAAGAGCTGAAACAATACTGCGATGCCATTAAGAAGAGAAGAATCTAAAGTGGCAATGGGCAGGATATCCTTCTGATCCCCGGACCAGATGGATGGACAATGAACCAGGTTAGACCAGGTTCCAAGAGAGTGTGAGCGGCTCGTAGGAAGACTTTTGAATTAATGGCAGGATGAGCGGAAGAAGTTCGGTGGTTCAGAATGGAGAAAAATGGCATGTCACAAAAATTTATGGCAAAGTCTTGGAGAAGCCTTCGTTCAGCAATGCATCGGCAAACGCCTATAATGATAATGTGATTTGGATCGATGAGTTCCAGATTCATATCATGCCTTCGTGGCTGCCATAATGGCTATGAATAAGGAATACACTGGGCTGTTCTTCACTCAGCTATGCAACTTATTTCCTGGGACACTAGCTTTTTAGGAAAAAATTGAATTTCACGAGGATAATATAGCCTAACCTTTCAGTTGTAAACAATCTAATTTCCGTAGATGGCCCATAAAATACAGAACTTGGCATGCAAATTTACCTGGACGAAGGCTCGTGAGTGAAAGTCCGAATCGGTCATAGTAGCTGATCATCTGATAGACCAGTATGTTGCGCTCCGTATGAATGGACGGATTTTTGTACTGTTTTGCAATGTAAGTACCCGAACACGAACCAAATGCCCAACAATATTGTCTAAACATTTTCGTCCCAGGTAAAACCCTTAATGTTATGGAAATCAGGTTTTTGTTAAAATGTAAACGAATGAATTTTTCTTGACTTCGTTTCTGGTTCAGTCACTGACGACACAACGTACTGTACGAACCCTTTATTTGTGCCACCATTGATTCGATTGACGGCACATCAGAGTAGAACGTATTGTTTTCATGTTTGGAAATTTGTACCAAATCAATAGCAAGTTATTTCAATTCATTACCATTTTATCCAATGATCAAAACCCAGAAGTTAACAGCGTTATGCATCTTGACAAAGTCTGTCCAACGTTCCAGCGCGATTGTTGCCGGTGCTGTTCATATTTTCAGCTTCCGAATTAAAATGTGTATTCTTTATGTGAACTTGTTTCTACGCTGTTTCGCCATTACGGCTTGCTCTGGTTTGACAAATATATTAATGATGCAAGATGTTTTCGAAAATATACAGACGTAGTTTGGAGTGCCAAAATAATCTAAAGTTGCTCGGCTTTGGAACACATGAAGTAAGTTGTTGACTGCAGGTAAACAGCCTCGGGAAAGATTGGAAGCTACCTCACTCCAGCACCTGCAAGTCGGAATAGAGAAGCTCTCATAATACATTACGAGCATGTCTTAATTGTGGTTGAGGAACTAAATTACTACGTCAAAGACTACAATGCGGAAGGCGAGTTTAGAGTGATGTCTTCAGAGACGGGATGGAATGTTTTCGAGGAAACGCTTTCCGTGGATGACGTGAGAAGTAACTGCTACTTGGCAAGGTATGCCATGCGAAACAGGACAAAAGATCTGTCCGGCCGTCAGCCGCAAAGAACGTAAGCGGCTTTCAGCTTTTTCTCTGACCCTACGAAGTCAAATTGAGTAAAGGAGGATCGCTGAGTGAGGGATGGACGGAAAATACTCAGAAACAGAAGTTGTTCTGGCATCATCGGTCGGTCGACTGTCACCGTCCGCGTGCCATTGCCGTGAGTCACGGAGGTGGTGGGCGGGAGTACACACCATGGCGAGCACCGCGTGCATGCAAGCAGATTCAGAGGCGGCAGAGTCTTCCGTTGTTAGCCGCCGATTCGCGCCAGTTCGTATGTTTGCTGCCGATCTCTACCTCACCCATGTGTTCGACGAAGACGACGGCGATGAAGATCGACAGCCACTGGGGGCCTGAGGAAACGATAGCGCGGCAGCGGCGTGCGTCTACGATCAGTCTCCTCGTCGTCGTCGTCGTCGGTCAATCTGCGGGTCGGCGGCAAGCCGGCCAGCTAAATTCGTTCCTGCTCCTCGTCGTCCTCGTCTAGTCGTCGTCCGTCAGTTGCTGCTATTTCTCCTCTCAAGTGAGCGAGTGCTCACGAGCGCCGCCACTTTGCCAG